CGATTCATACCAATTGTTACTTGCATGACAACTTTAACCATCCGTTTTAACAAATTAATTCAGTCATTAATACCCTTGTCATCAGATCAATAAGCCTTTGAGACGATGCAGTAGACCCGTTGAGCTCTCTAGTTTAAAATAAGCCCTCATCCAAAACGGTTACCGTGAAAATCACATCAAAAGGAGCATCAACAGATATCAATCCCCCTCAATCTCAACCTAAAGACTTAGACCCTGATTATATAAAAGCTTTTCTTTCTTACATCAAAGGTATCACTGACAAAATCGATAAAATTCTAAAATCAGAAGGAATGAAAACAATATTTACTCCCCAACAAAAACTTTAATCTCTTGTCCAATTATTCAAAGAAAACATTTCAAATGAACAACACGAAGTTTATAAAATTTCTTGTGCAGACTGCCCCAATCCTATATCGACCACACAAATCATAGAGTCTAAAATATGATTTATGAAAATTTCATTTCAATTTTAGCTTTAGGTCAACAACATATTCATACAGTTCAGAGAATTGATTTTAGAAAACTCTAGCACCATAGCCCCCACCCGCTTCTATAAACTAAGAATAATGCAAGAAGCAATAAAAATTTAAAAAAGGCCAAATTGTCTTAATAAAAGAGATGACGCGTATATATATATATATATATATATATATATATATATATATATATATATACCACTGTTTTTGATGGGTTGGAGTCAATAAAAGGGGCTATTTGTTGACTATTTTTTACTCGAGCTTTCAATTGTGATTACAATTTTTATCAAGAGCTTCTAAAAAATACAAAATGTCTTACAAAGTTGAACTAGAAATAAAAAATTTTTTGTTAACTCACCAAATAAAATTAGTTTTTTATATAAAACTACTGCTTACATATTAAATACAAAAAATATTAATAAAAAAATGTCTTATTCTAATAAATGTTTCTCTGAAAAATTTAGATGAAGTTTCTTAAGAAAAAAAATTGAATTTATAAACAAAAATAGAATAGCTACAACCAGCCTAAATGTCATAAATACTAACTTAAAAATTTTTATTTTTGACATATTGTCAAAAATAAAATTTTGTTTAAAAAATTCTTCTTTGTTTAGTAACAAAAAAGAAGAAGATTTATTCACCATTGATAGATGCCCGAAAAAATGTAACAAATACATGGAAAATTCAAAATGTGATATTTTACTGACTGCATAAATTAAATAGAAATTATATAATTATAAATTTTGCTTAAATTTTGAATTTCTGACCTTTTGTTTAAATTATTATCACTTTTGCTAATACAAACCATTTCCAAAAAAGTTCTTTTAAATTTATTACTTTCATTACATAAAATTTTAATATTATCAAAATCCATAATATGGTCTTTGTCTATTACATGCTCTGCCAAAGCACAAGATGGTTTCTTAATTCTACAATCACTCTTGTGAGAAATAATGCGATTTGAGAGATTTCTTCCAGTCTCACCAATATACTCAGCTTCACACTGAGTACAAACAATGCTGTATACTACATTTGTTTGATCTAATTTGTCTATAGGATATTTAGTTTTGGAATATAAAGATGAAATAGTTTTGATGTTCTTTGTTGCTATTTTTATATTGTCAATAACCTTTAATGTTTGTATTAATTTAGGAGTTAATGATGGTATAAAAGGTAGTGAATGATAATATATGTTTTGATTGTTGGATACAGTGTTTTGAGATTTAGCAAAAAATGGTGTTAAGTTATTTATATTTAATAAATTAGAAAAAAGCATCCTATGTAGCATATCAGGAGGATAAGAGTTTTCAATTAAAATATTTTTTAACAAATGAAGATCTTCTTGTAGATAGTCTGGATGAGAAAGTTTTAAAACACGTTCCTTTAATCCTGTTATAAGGTTCATTTTCATTTTATTTGGATGATTAGAGTAATAGCTTATAAATCTATTACTACATATGGGTTTTCTGAACCATCTAGTTTTCAACATATTGTCTGTATTTCTTACAATTCTCATGTCAAGGAATGGTAGAGAATTATCTACCTCTTCCTCAACTGTAAATTGTATATGTTGATTATGATTGTTGAAAATGTTGACTGTTTCAAGAATTTTGTGTTTAGGAAGTGCCAAAACTAGATCATCTACATATCTTTTGATAAATGGAATGAAAAAAGTGCAATTATTGATACAATCACTAATAACATCATCCATGACATAGCTACTTAGAATGGGTGAAAGACTAGATCCCATAGGGCTACCAAAAATTTGTTAATAAGTTATTACATTTTAAAACACTCATCAACTTTGTTTTTGATTCTAATATTTTTATATTTAATGGTGTTTTTTATAAACAAATTTTTGGTAGCCCTATGGGATCTAGTCTTTCACCCATTCTAAGTAGCTATGTCATGGATGATGTTATTAGTGATTGTATCAATAATTGCACTTTTTTCATTCCATTTATCAAAAGATATGTAGATGATCTAGTTTTGGCACTTCCTAAACACAAAATTCTTGAAACAGTCAACATTTTCAACAATCATAATCAACATATACAATTTACAGTTGAGGAAGAGGTAGATAATTCTCTACCATTCCTTGACATGAGAATTGTAAGAAATACAGACAATATGTTGAAAACTAGATGGTTCAGAAAACCCATATGTAGTAATAGATTTATAAGCTATTACTCTAATCATCCAAATAAAATGAAAATGAACCTTATAACAGGATTAAAGGAACGTGTTTTAAAACTTTCTCATCCAGACTATCTACAAGAAGATCTTCATTTGTTAAAAAATATTTTAATTGAAAACTCTTATCCTCCTGATATGCTACATAGGATGCTTTTTTCTAATTTATTAAATATAAATAACTTAACACCATTTTTTGCTAAATCTCAAAACACTGTATCCAACAATCAAAACATATATTATCATTCACTACCTTTTATACCATCATTAACTCCTAAATTAATACAAACATTAAAGGTTATTGACAATATAAAAATAGCAACAAAGAACATCAAAACTATTTCATCTTTATATTCCAAAACTAAATATCCTATAGACAAATTAGATCAAACAAATGTAGTATACAGCATTGTTTGTACTCAGTGTGAAGCTGAGTATATTGGTGAGACTGGAAGAAATCTCTCAAATCGCATTATTTCTCACAAGAGTGATTGTAGAATTAAGAAACCATCTTGTGCTTTGGCAGAGCATGTAATAGACAAAGACCATATTATGGATTTTGATAATATTAAAATTTTATGTAATGAAAGTAATAAATTTAAAAGAACTTTTTTGGAAATGGTTTGTATTAGCAAAAGTGATAATAATTTAAACAAAAGGTCAGAAATTCAAAATTTAAGCAAAATTTATAATTATATAATTTCTATTTAATTTATGCAGTCAGTAAAATATCACATTTTGAATTTTCCATGTATTTGTTACATTTTTTCGGGCATCTATCAATGGTGAATAAATCTTCTTCTTTTTTGTTACTAAACAAAGAAGAATTTTTTAAACAAAATTTTATTTTTGACAATATGTCAAAAATAAAAATTTTTAAGTTAGTATTTATGACATTTAGGCTGGTTGTAGCTATTCTATTTTTGTTTATAAATTCAATTTTTTTTGTTAAGAAACTTCATCTATTTTTTATTTCTAGTTCAACTTTGTAAGACATTTTGTATTTTTTAGAAGCTCTTGATAAAAATTGTAATCACAATTGAAAGCTCGAGTAAAAAATAGTCAACAAATAGCCCCTTTTATTGACTCCAACCCATCAAAAACAGTGTTATATTTTTTCCAAACGAGTCACAAGTACTTCTTTTTTCTTATATATATATATATATATATATATATATATATATATATATATATATATATATATATATATATATATATATTTATATATATTTATATATATTTATATATATATATATATATATATATATATATATATATATATATACAGTTTGAACGAATTTAAAACATATATATCTGTTTGAACTGCATTTTGAAATAGTGGACCAATATAACATTTGGATAAAAATAAATTGGTCACCTAGAAAGAATGCCAGATAATCGAGCTCTAAAAGTAGTCCAGAGATGGAAGCCCCAAGGAAACAGGATAAGAGAAAGGCCCCGTAAAAGTGGAAAGACGACGTAGAGAGGGATCTTAAAACCATGAATATCAGGCACTGGCGAAAGAAAGTTTCCGACAGGGCAGACTGGAAGAACATTGTTAAGCAGGCCAAGACTCACAAAGTGTTGTAGCATCATTAGAAAAAGAATAGGGAGAAGAGTTTATCTCTGGACATTCAGTGTGATACACACACAGTTTATATTTTTCAGAACTAGTTTTCAATATATTCGTAAAATCACGAGTCTACCAGTAAATTATTAAGAATATTGCAATTCAATGTTTATCAGTGTATGCTTTACTTGTAAACTTACCTATCTAAAATTGGAGATTGTGAAACTTAAAGCAAGGTTGTTGATAAATGACAGATGTCTGCAGTTGCTAAAATACATCCTGTTTCAGCAGTATTACCAAATATCAGTATAGACTGTTTGTTTTCAGTGGACCACTTTGTATATTATTTCACTATTTGTTTTAATTAATAAACTATATTTTATTATTTATGTATATGATTATATAACTTCTTTGGATACCTGTTTGAATAATAACATTCAAACGTATACATTTCCCATCGTCTTTTATAACGTAATCCTTTTAAAACTTTAATTTAGGAATATTTTTTTTGGACATGTTGCCTAGAGTATCCTGTAGAACTAAGTTAATACCTAACATGATTGAGCAGCTGTAATGAATAAAGATTAGATCTACAACTTTTAATTATAATTATAAAACAGGTCAGCTTTTTATTAAATAACCCCCAGACCAAGTTTCCTTGAACGAATTAAGAATATTAGCTACGCTTTATGTAAAACTGTCAGGCAATATATTTTTTTATTTAAAAACACAAAACTTACCCTAGTCGATTCATTTGGCATTCCGTAATTGTGTTTGTAGATATAATCCGCACCAACAGGCACCAGATCATTTTGGAGTTCCACATGGACCGTGTCCTTATCCTTACCCGCCTGGGATTCCGACAAGCGGTTATATTTTCCCTCCAGGACTTTGTCTCCATTATATTTGACCGTTGCCGCACCTACGCTGGCTTTTGTTCTTTCCTATTGATAGGACAGAAAGATATAGAAGGTTAGTGGAATATACAGGTCCGTATTAGTTAGTTAAAAACGTTCATTAATAATATTTCGTAATATATAATAATATTTTATTATTCCTAATTTAATCCAAAAATAATATTATTTAAATGTAATCACGGCTCGAAGAAAAAGTGGGAGGGGGGGGGACCAAAAACGTTGTCATATTTAAATAAGGTTATGTGCTTCAAATATGTAAAAAATTGCCGAAAAATGTAGTTTTTTTTAATTCAGAGTATGTTTCAGTGTGGAAATGGCCAATTTAATACTAAGAAAAAACAGAAAAAAAATCGTTCTTCATTTACATGAAGTCGAGGTCATGTGCTAAAACGTCATGAAAAAAAAATATTAAAAACGTAAGATTTTTTGTGCGTGTTTTAGTCTGAAAATAGCAAACCTTATCTCGCTATTAGAAATAATGAAAAATGACAAAAATTGATATATATTTATTAATATGCAGTTGAGTTTGTGTGGGTCAGTTCGGTTCGAGTAGCCGATCAGCGAGGACATGTTCTTTGAGGAGTAGCAACTGACCTGAGTTTAACGGAGCTTTTCAGCTCCAGCGGTGGGTAAGACACCGCAGTGGCTTGGGCGCTTGATACAAATCAAAGAGAAGAGTATATGCGATTTTAATTATCTGCTTGAACCGCAGAGAGGTTGATTTTATAGGCCTCTCTCGGAGGGCAATAATTAATTGCAAATACGAAATTTCGGGATCTCTGTATGGTGTCGACAGGGTAGACACTGCAAGGCCTAGTTCTGAATCTAGGTCGGGCAGCAACGGCCCCTGCGCTTACAGAGCGAGAACTGCAAGAGGCACCCTCCTGGAAACAGGAGTGAACAACCGCGTCAGGGTCTGGGAAGGCACCCAGAATCCACTCGACACGTGTCGGGTGGACAAACAAAAAACCGCAGTCTTCCAAGTAGACAGATCTCAAATGTCGTTGGTTTCTGACGAAACCCCCGAGCTTCCCGCTCATGTTGAGTTTACCAACCCCCCAAACCCTGTCGAGTCAGAGTGTGTGCCTGAAGAAGGTACAGCTCCAGACTCTATCCCATTCCCCCCTGAATCTCCGACTCCCTCGGAGATGGACACCCTGATTTCGGACAACGAATATTCTAACGATGCTTTTGACCGTCAGTCATCTGCATCCACTTCTGATAATGAAACCGCGGACTTCAACGCCAAGCGACAATTTTTTACTAACAATATATACACTGCTCGTCGCGCCGAAGAAGCGGAAAAAAGGAAGAGACCATGCTCCAGTCCAGGGCAAAGCCCTGAGACTGAAAACACCAAGAAGCCAAAGGACGACGCCGAGGGGAACACAATGATGCAGATTCTCATCCAAAAAATGGATGAGATGCAAAAAAGCCACAATAAACAAGTTGAGGCTTTTATGGAACAGCTCAGAGAGCTAAGAGAAGAAAATAAAAAGTTGATTGCACAAATAGTGCAATTAACAGAAAAGAAGGAGGAGAAGAAAGTCCCCACAAAAAGAACACGCGATGAGGCGCAAGAATGGCAAGAGAACAGGGTTGCACAACCCGAAAAAATGGCAAAGCAAGCAGAAAAGGTTGAAAAACCTTTGAAAATTGCTGAACCAATGCAGGAGTCATGCGAGGAACCTTGGCAGGTTGCAAAGTCTACAAAGCAAAAGAAAAAGGCCGCTGCTAAAACCAACGAACAAGCCACGCCCACAGAAACTGTGAGCGTAGCTCAAAAACAAAGAGAAATTGTCCAAAAGAGGCAAGAAAAAATCATGGATGACACGATTAAATCGCGTCAAGCCAAAAGAGCCCTAAAAGAAAAAGAGGTACCGGAAAACAACGAATCAGCGGCCCCCACTGAAAAAACCACGAAAGAGCCAAAACCACCGGCAATAATACTAAAATCAGTGGGCGAAAGCCAAAACATCCTGCGGAAAGCCGCAGAGAAAGCCATCGTGTCGGACAATAAGTTCGCTAAATCAGGGCGGTCTGTAGTCATACAGACAAAGAACAGAGAGGGGTATCTAGCGATGGTACAAATACTAGAAAATCACCGACCGGCTATAAACTTTATAGCCTACCCTATAGACGTGCCGAAAACAAAAAGACTTGTAATCAGAGGATTGCAAGCCAACGTCGACTTACGAACAATCGTAAGAGAAATAGAAGATAAAGGTGCCGATGTCATTAAAATTGACGTCGTAACTGGAATGAGAGAAGGAAAGAAAGTAGTCCTTCCTCTCTACAAAATTACGGTACCTGAAGAAAGCACCGAAAAAGCACGTCTAATCACCAACCTCTGTTATCTTCGAGTCAGAATCGAAGACGAAATAAAAAAACCACGCGATGTAGTACAATGTTTTAACTGCCAGGATTTCTACCATGGCTCCAGCGCCTGCCACTGCGCCTCGCGCTGTGTTAAATGTGGAGACTACCACAAGTCATCCGAATGCCCTAAGGACAGGGAAACCCCAGCAAAATGTGCCAACTGCGACGGGGCACATACAGCAAGTTACAGGGGGTGCTCCAAAGCACCCAAACGAAAGCCAAAAACAACGGTACAGCCAAAATACGTAGATGCACCAAGTGCACCTACTACCCGGCCTAACGTAAGTTACGCCGCAGCAACCAAAGCAGCCGAAACACCGAAAGCTGCCCCTGTAACCAGAAAAAACGCCACAACCGAAGACATCATGAACATCATGAATGAAAAACTCAAGGAAATGACGGACCATTTCCAAGGCATGTTCAACAAATTTTCCCTAGCATTCGAGGCGATGAGCAAGTGTAGAATCGAATAATGACAGTACAGTTGGACGAACTAAAGATCGGATCGTGGAATTCGGGCGGGATTCGTTCGAAACTTAATATTCTCGACGAGTTTACCAACAGACTCGCTATAGATGTCATGGCCTTACAAGAGACTAAATTAGTCGAAAGAATTAAAACAAAAATTCCAGGCTATGTCATCCATAGGGAAGACCATAGAGCGCGTTCAGGTGGCACGGCCATTATGGTTAAAAGGCAAATAGACCACCATCTAGTGCCTACACCACTTGGCCTGGTCACCATGGAAGCGACCATAATTCGTATCATCACGGCTAACGGAACCCTGAAAATAGTTTCGGCGTACGTAAGACCAAATGAACCGATATTCGGAGAGGACTTAGACTTAATATTAAATTCCGACGAACCGACGATAATTATCGGCGATCTGAACGCTAGATCGCCCAACTGGTACGACCGACGTACAAACGCGAACGGTAGACGACTCTGTGCCTATCTCGAAAACAAAAACAACACCATAGTAGCGGGTCCCACAGACCCAACATGCTACCACGGAGAATTCCCCTCACATATAGACTTAGCAATTCTACATAACATAGGGCAACAATATGAAATACAAACAATGAACGAAGGCGACTCTACCCATAACGTGATCGTCATGACCCTAGGCGCAGTGGAATTAAATCCACTGCAGCCCCACCAAACAAAGAAAACAAACTGGCCGAATTTCCGAAGAGTTGTAAGCGAAAATATTGGAGCAATTCCAACAATCAACAATATAGATGATCTCGAAGAAAGTATAACCAAACTCGAACAAACAATACTAAACGCATTCGATGCCAGCACAAAAATAGAAGCAAAAACAACGCCAAAGGGCAGGTTTGAAGAAATATCAAATGAGCTAAAAGATCTCATTAAAGAAAAAAATAGGAAAAGGAGAAGAGCACAAAGAACAAGAAACCAAGAAGATAAAAGAATTGCTAATGACCTAGATAGAGAGGTGAAAAGAAAACTAAATGAGCACAGAAGCGAATGCTGGGACAAATATATCCAAGAGCTAAACCCAAATCAATCCGCATTCTGGAAAGTATCCAAAATACTTAGAAAAGACAAAAAACCAATACCGCCCCTACACGGACTAGACGGTTTAGTATATACCGATCAAGAAAAAGTAGAAGTAATGCGAGAAACACTCGAATCAAATAACACACAAAACTTTCATCCTGCAGAAGATCTAGACTTCACGGAGGAAGTAGAAAGAAGCGCCAGACGCTTAAGGAGGAGAAAAGGCATAATAGGCCTAGAACACACAAGCCCAGAAGAAGTTAAAGAATTAATAAAAATACTAAACCCAAAGAAAGCAGCTGGACCAGATAAAATTACAAACAGGGCAATTAAAAATGTACCAAACAAAATCATAGTGTACATTGCAAACATCATAAACGGAATAATGCGACTAAGATACTTTCCAGACAGATGGAAAGAAGCAGAGGTAATAATGATAGGAAAACCGGGAAAAGATGGGAGCTTTCCACAAAACTACCGACCGATAAGTCTACTATCGTGCCTAAGTAAGCTAGCAGAAAGAATAATCCTAAAACGACTACAAACAGAGTCGGAAGCAATAGGAACAATTCCAGAAGCTCAGTTCGGCTTCAGATCTAGACACTCATGTGAATTGCAAGTACTTAGACTTACAGAGTTCATCACCAAAGGTTTTAACGAGAAAATGTACACTGCTGCAGCTTTCTTGGACGTTAGTAAAGCATTCGACAGAGTATGGCACGAAGGCCTACTCTACAAAATGAACCAATATGGATACAGTGAGGCAATGACATGCCTTCTTGCGTCATACCTGACAAACCGGAGATTCAGAGTTCGAATAGGGCCTGCCCTATCCGAGGTCGGAACTCTGGAGGCAGGTGTGCCGCAGGGAGCGGTGTTATCTCCATACCTGTATACCATATACACAGCAGACACACCAAGCGATTACAAAACACTGCTCAGCCTGTACGCAGATGATACAGCGCTAGCAACTAGTAACAGAAACGTAAATTTCGCAACTAGAGACTTACAACGCTCTCTAAACCGACTACATGCATGGTGTATAAAATGGAAAATAGCACTAAACCCGGAAAAAACACAGGCAGTCATGTTCAGAAAAAGAAGACAACTACCCAATACGGAAT